ATAGATATTTAAAATATTTATATTGACTATAAATTTTGGATATTTTGGGATACCCGTTGGAGTTCGGTTAATAAAATTTCAGGCTCGGATATTTTTTGTACCATCCTACAAAACTCGTTCGAACATTTTTAGATTTCGGGTCCTTTTAGATTTTGGGTCGGATAGCTGGTTGGGTTTTTCAATTCGGGTTTGGTTCGGATATCAGATTCCGGATTTTATGCCCAAGCCTAATAACCCGACCATAAAAACCGGAATCTGAAATTCGAACCGAATCCAAACTGAAAAACTCGATCCGTTATCCGACCCGAAATGTAAAAATACCCTAGGTGATGCGATCCAGATCAGCGGGTATGTTTCAGTGAGGAGTTTAAGGTAGGAACTAGCTAAGCAACTGATTATAGCTTGGGTTAATAGGCATTGTATGGGCCTTATTGGTTTGATCCATGAAGTTCTAGACCGAGAGAAACTAATGGGTTTGATGCAGTACGTAGAGGCCTTATGCTCAATAAGATACCAGTGTTTGGATTTTCCCAAAAAAGGCCCACCAAGAAAATATAAGTCATGGTCGTATAATATATCAATCTGACGGCAATTCCGAGATCTTCAACAATGCGAAAAGAAGCACCAGCCGAAGAGTTTTGCGACCACAACCTTCAAAATTCAGTCAAGTCTTAGTGTTTGGTCAAGTTCCCCATATTTATGATATTTTTTTTTCTTAGAATAAGTTTAGACCTTTAGTCTAACCCACAACATATTATATAAAGGATTGCTTTGTATTATTTCAAATCATTCAACTTTTTTTATAAAAACCTTTCCTTTTAACTTGTTGAATCCTTTGTTCTTCATCGAACATCTTATCTTTTGAGTCATCAGAGTGTGTCATATCTTCAGGTTTAAAGTTGGTAGTATCAAGAGAATTTCTGCACCTCTTGTGTCACCATTCAATCCACATCCCTTGATCGTTTGTGCTTTCTAACTCATTCGGTGCAAGGCTTATCCAATCCACCCACCTTAGAATGATCCTTCATATTTAGGGTGTATCATGTGGTATCAGAGACACTCTGAGGTTCAGAATTCTCCACAGCCAGCCATTCGTAACTCTTCATATTCTAAGAGATCTTTTGTGTCTTTTGGATTACTAAAGAAAAACTATGAAGAGAAGCGAAACATTCTTAACTCTTCATCTTCTAAGAGATCACATGTGTTTGGGATACTGATCAACCAGAAAGAGGAGGCAGCGCGCAAAATACAAAAAAAAATGTAACACCCGCATTTTCTAAAATAATAAAATAAATAAAAATGTTTGAAATCTCCATTTATTAAATCGTATAAATCATCTAAAAAAATCCATAAATCCAAAATAACATATAAGTCTCAAAAATATCGATAAAAGCATAAGTCTAAAAATAGATAAATAAAACTACCAAAAGCACCAATCCGAAATGATCACTCCTGATCGTCAGTATCACCTGAAATGGGGGAAGAAAGAAGGGTGAGTAACAGGGGAGTCACTCAGTGAGGTATGGGATGCTAACCACAAACCACTGACTTAGTACATAGCACTACGACAATGTAGGGCTAGCTTTAGCATGACACAAACACGGTGTCTATTACACCTCACAGAACAATCATATGCCTAGAGCACCATACAACAACAATCAATGCGATGATAGTACATAGCTATTCTCTGCACCCCGCAATCTCCTCATAGGGATATACATATATAACTCTACAGGCGTCGCTAGTACGGTAGTCCACTTCGTACCCCCGCAATCTCTACGGCGCGCTAGTACAAACGTCTCTGTACCCCGCAATCTCCACACAAAGCGGCGCTAGCACAGACGTCTATGTGCCCCCGCAATCTCCTCAAACAAGGCATCGCTAGTACAGACGTCTCTGCACCCCCGCAATCTCTCATACATAGACTTATATATATACATATATCAATTCTTAACATCAATCATGTCACACAACCATTGAATCATCTATTATCCTATGTCCGGTTTAGCAATCAATAATAATAAGTAACAAAACAAGACTCTCAAACAGACTCGATTCACAGAGACGGATCATGTTTCGAAACTAAACTTTTCATAATAGTAGTACTAAACGAGTTCGGGATTTAAAGGAATAGCCCTCACCTTATAATATCGAAGAACCAAGAAAAAGACGAGATGACTTGAGCACCACGAAACTATAAGTCCGCCATTGATGCATGAGTTCACGGTCTACAACGAAGGTGACACAAGTGATCACTATATTGAGAGAGGGAAAGCTTGGTGCACAAGCAATAGGAAACACGGTGGCGTCTCCGGTGACATGGATTGCACCTCCGGTGATGGCTCATGGTGGTGAGACGATTGCTCCATCTTGCTCACGCTTTCCTTTGCTTGGCTCCGGTGGGATGAGGTGAGATGGTTCACGGTGGTGGAGGTGATTGCGTCTCGCATCTCCTAACAACAACGCACAATTTCATAAAGAGGGAGAAAGGCACGTGGAAATAAAGAAGGAAGGAGATGACTAGAGAGTGATGATCAGAGGTGGATAACAATGGCATCAGCTCTGGCTTGATCTAAAATAAGGGTGGCTGGCTTTTTAACGAAGAGTAAAGCATATATAAGTATACAGGTTTAGGTCAGAAAATATTGGCCTGTTTGATTTAATAAAAAAAACAATTGAATAACAAATCAAAACCGGATATTAGAAAACCGGGTCGTTACAATTCTTCCCCACTTAATCGGAATTCGTCCCGAATTCCACAAAGAACCGGGAAAGAACTTCAATAGCTATGAAAGAAAGAAGAACACAAAATAAAAACAAACAGCGGAAACGAATTGAAATTTGGTCTTCTCCTGCAAAAATGAAGAGTTAGAAATACTAACTAGCCGAATAATACTGGCCAGAAGGGTGTCACTTTTTTAAAACTCCCAATCCCGAAACATTGAAAATCGTTCAAATCCGAGTCCCATAAATCGCCGTCCCAGGTCGGAGCCGGGACGGAACCCGCTCTGATACCAAATTGTAACACCCGCATTTTCCAAAATAATAAAATAAATAAAAATGTCTGAAATCTCCATTTATTAAATCGTATAAATCATCATAAATCCAAAATAACATATAAGTCTCAAAAATATCGATAAAAGCATAAGTCTAAAAATAGATAAATAAAACTACCAAAAGCACCAATCCGAAATGATCACTCCTGATCGTCAGTATCACCTGAAATGGGGGAAGAAAGAAGGAAGGAGATGGAGACTAGAGAGTGATAATCAGAGGTGGATAACAATGGCATCAGCTCTGGCTTGATCTAAAATAAGGGTGGCTGGCTTTTTAACGAAGAGTAAAGCATATATAAGTATACAGGTTTAGGTCAGAAAATATTGGCCGGTTTGATTTAATAAAAAAACAATTGAATAACAAATCGAAACCGGATATTAGAAAACCGGGTCGTTACAAAAAAGTTGCAAGAATGGAGGTACAACAAATGCATAATCGAGATGAAAGCAGAATATGAGTGTGACCAAGAGAAAGAAGCCAAGAAGTCACGACCTCAGAGAGACAAATGGAAGAAACTACTCAGCAAAGAAGGTACACGAATCTCCCTTGATTCTGGTACAGTGCAATTTAGAACGAACAGCACAAAGAAGGCAATCCAAAAGCCACAATCAAAACCGGTTGTAGTGACTCCTTCGACCAGAACTGAAGAGAAGAGAAATAAGGGGTTTGAGAGATGGCTGGAGAGTTTCAAGGCTAATATCCATTAAAGGATCAGAAACCCATGTCTATCTTCAGCTTTAGAAGAAGATCAGGAGGCCTAACATATCAAACCGGAGCTATCGATCGTTTATATCCGAGCAGAATCTAAGAACAATCTCGGTCCAATCTTTGATGAGGAGGAAGAAGCAAAGGCTGTAAGTGTTCTCCTGGCTGTCCAAAAATTAGCTGAATATGTGGTTGATAGAGGACCAGAAGCTGATCATGAAAAATATCTCACACCCACTTATGATTCAGGTGATATTCTCGGTTATTTATCAAATGATAAACTGGTTCAGCCATTCTTTTGCAAGGAGTACGATCCAGTGGAGCTACTGAGACCTGAAGAAGGTCTACAACATTTCATCTTTGAGCATGGAATAGGTGTGTGTGTGCACAAGAACAATGGAAACACCTTGGTTGAGCAGAACCATGTCGATTCATTCATCCTAGAAAGTCTGGATTTGAGGACAAATCCTTTTAAGTGAGAAGGGGATGATGTGATCGATATCAGCAGGTATGTTTCAACGAGGAGCTTAAGGTACGAACCAGCTTGCAACTGATTAAAGCTTGGCTTAATGGAAGTTTTATGGACCTTATCGGTTTGATCCATGAAGTTCTAGACCGAGAGAAGCTAATGGACTTAGTGCAGAACGTGGAGGCCTTATGCTCAATAAGATATCAGTGTTTGGATTTGTCCAAAAAAGGCCCACCCAAAAAATATAAGCCATGATCTTATAATATATCAGTCTGAAAAAAATTTTGAGATCTCCAACCATGCGAAATGACATAACCATCCGAAGAGTTTTGCAACCACAGCCTTCACAATTCAGTCAAGTCTTAGTCTTTGGTCAAGTCCACCATATTTATGATATTTTTATATACTAGAATAAGTTTAGATTTTTGGTCTAATCCAGAGTCTATTATATAAAGGCTTGCTTTGTATTATTTCAAATCATTCAATTTTTTAATAAAAACATTTTCTTTTAACTTGTTGAATCATTTGTTTTTCATTGAAAATTTTATCTTTTGAGTCGTCAGAGTGTGTCATATTTTCGAGTTTGAAAGTTAGTAGTATTAAGAGACTTTATACACTTCTTGTGTCTCTGTTCGAACCACATCCCTTGATAGTGTGTGCTTTTTAAATTTGTTGTAAAGTTTATCCAATCTATCCATCTTAGAGTGATCCTTCATATTTAGGGCGGATCACTAGGTCTGGCCCTAGACTATCACTCCTTCCTTACTCCTGTTAATTGAAAAATCTACCCCTGTTTCCTTTGGGTATTACAAAGAAAGACTTGAAAGCAGAAAACTTGTTTATCCAAAATCTACAGCCTACACCAGGGGGAATGATGACTCCGTCACAGTACAAGCTCACAACTTCTCCCTCCTATTTACCATTTTGCCACCACACTCGAGTCTTTCCTCTTCCTTCTCACCTCACATCTCTCAAAAACCCGAATCTTGTTTCTGGTTTACGAGAAAAACCCAGACTTGCACCTTCCCTTGGGTGCTTCGCATCATCTTCTCCAATGGCTACTCCGACACAGAGCAGCGAAACCAAACCGTTCTCTGTCCTTTTCGTCTGTCTGGGTAACATTTGTCGGAGCCCAGCAGCTGAAGGCGTCTTCAGAGATATTGTCAAGAAGAGAGGCCTCGACTCCAAATTCATCATCGATTCCGCCGGAACCATTGATTATCACGAGGTGATCAATAACTCCGTTGCGATTCTTTTGCTTTTCCAGAAACGCGGAGCGAAAGAACCAAACACAATCTAGGGTTGTGAAAGGAAGATTGATGTTTAAGATGATTTTGGTTTTAGAGTTTTATGTAATTATTAGACTTTGGAATTCATGTTTCTGAGATCAGTTTTTGATTGTGCTTTTTGTAAGGGGAATATGGCAGATCCAAGGATGAGAAGTGCTGCGAAACGTCGTGGAGTTGAGATAACATCATTATCTAGACCAATAAATGCATCTGATTTCAGGGACTTTGATCTCATTCTTGCCATGGATGAGCAAAACCAAGGTAGACTCAACAGAGTGATGATAGTTGTTAACTTTTATTTATTTAGATTGTTATACCTCGTTAATGAAGTTGTTTGTTTTGTTTTGCAGAGGACATATTGAACGCTTACAATGTGTGGAAAGCCAGAGGGAATTTCCCACCTGATGCTGATAAAAAGGTAATGTTGCTGTCTGTTGTGTGCTCACCATTTTCAGGAGATTTTATTCCCATTGGGTTTTGCAGGTGAAGCTCATGTGTTCCTTTTGCAAGAAACACAATGACAAGGTAGTGCCAGACCCGTATTATGGTGGAGCTCAAGGTTTTGAGAAGGTAACAATAATCCCAAAAGTACGCTCAGTAGTTGCACCTTTAGAGAACTATCCGTCTCTTATTGGTGGGGATATATATATACTAACTGTTGGTTTAGACATATGTGCCAGGCCTAGATCATCTTTAAAATTGTTTTACAAGATTCCCAAACTTTCCTGTTTAATCACTTAACAACTTGAATTTTCTTTCTTTGTTCCACCTTCTATGTTAGGTATTAGACTTACTTGAAGATGCATGCGAGTCGTTGCTGGACAGTGTCACGGCCGAACATTGACATTGCTAAGCTTAAAGTCCTGACTATGTGTCTGATCAAATGGCTTTGCACATAATATTATAACTTCTGTTTTACATTTATAAGACATCTTCAATGATGTCAAACAGTCGTGAGACATGGTGTGAAGCTTAAATCTTGTTGATGTTTACTTCAAGAAAACCTTGTTAAGCTTAAAGGTGATAACCACTCTCATTTTTAAGCTATCATACCCGATCAAAATTATGTTATTCAGGATTCTTCAAATAACTGTACATTAGCAATTTAGCAGAAATGAATGGGCATTGTCTGCAACTACTGAAACTGGGGAAAATTGTAAATATTGAACAGAAAAAGTAATAAAAATGCCATAATATGAAGTATAAGTTGTCCGATTAGTATAATATTTTTGAAAAATCCAATTAAGCCCCTAATCTATACTTAAATGATTTTTATTATTTTAATTATTAAAAATAAAATCAAGAGTAAAAAAAATAATTAACAAAAAAGGAAAAATTGTTTTATCCCCGGTTTCTACAAACTTTAATTTTCACCCTTTTTTGGCGATAGAGAGAAGAGCCGATTTCAAGTCATCGGCTTGTCATAGCTCGCCGTTGCCGGTGTTCCTTCTTCCCGATAAGACTCTGGTGGTGATATTCTTCTTAATCGAAGTCTCAGAACCTCTTGCTCACTTCGCGTCTCGTTCTCAAGTAAATCCCGAACACTGAATCTCGTGCCTTGCCGGAAAGTGAAGCTCGTGCTTTGCCGCTCTGCAATATACACTCTCAAGTCTAGTTCAAGCAAAACGATCGAGATTTTCAGGTTTGTTCAAGCAGTTGTGTTTTTTATTTGCATGTCTTTGTATCTTTAATTTGAGTCGTTTTTTACTCATATTTTGATTGTGATAGGTTTGAAATGTAGTTTCTGTGAATGATTTGAGTGTTTATGTTATCAAAATTTCAATTTTGTCATCGGTTTTGCTCTTAAAGGTATACACTCGATTTTTGTCATCGGATTTGGTATTAAATTTTCGTACTTGTTCATATTTGTCATATGTTACCGTTTAATGTGTTTTTGTGACCACCGATTTTGCTATTAAAGTTCCAGGTTTGTGTTGACATAGCTCGGGTTAAACATGTTATATTGAACTCATATTGAGTTGTGTAAGAACTCGTATTGAGTTGTGTAAGACAACCTGGAATGAAATTGTTACCAAGATGTCTTTTTTACCGAGTTGGTGTCTCATATATATACAATTGGCTTGGGTTTTACATCTAGATATCTTGTAAGCCATGTGGTTTCGGTTTAAGTTTTTTTGTAGGAAACATAATTTCGCATGTCTTCTCTCTTTAATTTGAGTGTCTTTAATCCTAATATGAGTATAACATGTTTATACATTAGTCATGAGTATTAATTGTATTTGTTTCATTGTTCACATGTATGAAAATGGATTAATTGCCTAAGTGCATATTCCAAGAAGGAACCGAAACACAAATTAAGGTCAACAACACCTGCCGAGCTACAATCATTTTGTTAGTAAAAGCGTCCGTTCTAGAAGAGTACTCGGATGTCTTGGAGGATCCGCTCTTTGCTCAAGTCATGGCCATTCATGATCACAAGCTTGGTTATTCTGGGACAATGATCCACACCTTTGTTTGTAAGCAGCTTCTGACCGCAAAGCTTCATGAGTTGTGGTTCCATTTTGCTAGGAGGCCTCTGAGATTTTCAATGCAAGAGTTCTATGCGATCACTGGTCTGAAGAACGAAGACGAATCTGATAAAGAGTTTTGGAGTCGGTGTCTTAGGAGGAAAGATAACTCTACAACAGATCAGGAAGGTCCATCCGAAGAAGTGTAATACGTGGTCTCATGTTGATAGACTGGGATTGGTGTATTTGTGTGTGACTGCTGGTATGGTTATGGTGAAGGATGAGAAGGTGGGGATACCACACAAGTACATCAAGCTCGTGATGTTTCGAGAAGATGAGGAAGTACCCGTGGGGACTTCATTTCTTCAACATGCTGGCGAGTTCCATTATCGATGCTAGGAACAAAGTGAAGACGAAGAAGAGTTATTTTATAGATGGATTCTTCTATACACTTCAGATTTAGGCGATGGAGGCCATTCCAGACATTGGTACTCTTTTGGATCAGAAACTTGAACAATGCGTCATGAGCATGAGATGCAGAAATTGGAAAGGATCTTATAAGATTTCCTTTGAAGATATTACTAGCCTTGAGTCTGATTTTACCTCCACTGTATGTTTTGATTCCTTTTTAATGTGATTTAATTCATTTATCTTAATGTATGTGTCTTCACCTTGTTTATTTGTTTATGTTGTGAAGGGAGCTTTCTTTCCATCCATTGCTTCCAACGGAAACTTCCCAAATGTTATTGTCCAAGATGAGTTTGCACAAGCGGGTGAGATGAATGATGAAAGAGTCGATCTAATCATTGATATGCACCGGAACAACTATGATTGGAGTAAACATGTATGGGCTTATCATGAACCTCGAAAAAGAAGACCAAACCGAACATTTACTTGACATTGCAGTTAGGTCAATGGTCACACTGATTCAGTTGGGTTGTAAATTTAATTTTAAATTAATTATCTATATATATGTGTATAAATATAAAATTATTTTTGTAAGACTTTTTATCATTGTTTGAAGTTAAAATTATATGGAAGTAAAATATTTTCTCATCCAGAAAATATCCCAACTCGGAAAATTCAATATTTTTAATGAAAATATTAATTATATTTTTTTAAAAGAAATCAAAATTTACATTTCAATAGTTTGGATTCTCTTTTTAATATTTACGACATATAGAAAAATATAAATTGTGTGTATACTTAGATAAAAAAGACAGATTAAAATTCAACGCATTTTCTAACATTATAGTTAAGAAAAGATATTACATCATTCTAAATAAAAAGTAAATGGAGCTCAAAACAAAGAGAAGAAAACCTATTCTTACTTATTTTCCGTTTACTTTAGCTGAATGACTATTTTAAGTTTGTGTGACACTATTTTTAAATAACATAAGATTTTTGCTATCTTGATCCAAAAATTAAGAAGTAATAAAATCAAGAAAATAACATAGAAAAGAATTGAAATATTAGAATAAAACTGGAGAAAAAAAAATTAATATACAACTGAATAAAAATCATAACCAAACCATTTAAATAATATTTAAAAAGAAAAATTAAACAAATTAAAATATCGTTGTTATTAGACTTGGAATGCTTGCAATATTGTATATGATGTTATTAGTGAGACCGATACAAGCCAAATGATGTTGTTGGTACAAATGTTGAAACATACTATTACTTAAACATTAGAAAAGAATTGTTTAACTGAATCATGTTTGATTACAGCATAAAAAATTTCACTACTGATATAAACAAACGTATCAGAATAAAACTGGTTTTTTTAGAAGTGTCGTAATTTAGGTTCTTGTATAATTTCTTCAAACCGACAGAAGTATTTTGTTATATATGAGAAACAACCACTTAACAGAATATTAGTTGAAGTACTAAAATTTACATACACAAAAGTTTTTAGTATTAATATAATTAAATGTATTGTAATATAACGAATATATCAAAACATGTCAAATGAAGTTAGTATTGGAACCAAGACTTACTCTGGTTTTGGTTACCATCACCTAAAGCACCAAGCCTTCTCATGAGTTCTACAAACTCTTGTTTCTTTATATACTCATGGAGAAAATCGTGTGAGTTCTTCACAAACACCAACTCTAAATCATACTGTTCAAAATTGTTCATGGGTACAATGTCACGTTGATACATAAAGTAAAAGCAAGTTTCTAAGCTAAGACTACGAAGCATTGAGAGGAGAAGAAAATGATTACCTATTCGGCTAAAGACTTGAAGACATTAAAAGGGGACAATCCATTAAGAACAATCAACAGAATCCTACCATTAAAAAATCCCAAGGATAACCTCTAAATGCGTAACCACGATAGCATACTAAGTGAATAACTCGAGAAGATTAAGTACCTCAAGGTGAAATACGTATTCAATACCAAAGGGGCTGCTAGATTTGCTAGACTTGAACTTCTGAAGCATACAACAAATAGCATAATCAGAATAGGAAAAAGAGGAAATTGTCTCCTTTTGGTACTGAAGTAACGAAACAAGTATCAAGCTTTTGGGAATGCTCTTCACCAAAACGAATCCAGTATACACTATTACCAATCTCCAAACCTTCAGCTGCATAGTTAGACAACACAAAGAACCCAGTTTAGTTTCACAAAAACCAGGAAACAAATGAAAGAGAAGGCGTAACAACACAACTCAATCCTTATAAAATCAAATTCGAAAGCAAAGAGACAGGAAAAAATAAGAACCTTCACGGAGTTTTTCGATAATAACATTGGAATCAGGCATTGTTCCTATAAAGACGCCTCCAGGACGAAGTAGAGCTGAGACATTTGCCAAAGCTCGCCTTGTACAAGCCTCAGTAGTCCATGAGTAATGCATAGCAAACTACATTTAAACAACCACACCATTAACCTCATTTCACCTAACACTAACTCCAATGAAACAAACTTCGATATATCAGTCGGACTATATAACCATAGACTCCAGTGGCCAGTGTAACCGAATATGTTGTGTGAAACTTTTCATCTTGAGGAAAGTGATAGTCAAAATTGAAACAAAAAAGAACCTGGCAACTGCAGATATCAAAAGGGGCATCCTCTTCAATTATCCCCCCTTAGACAATATAGTCCCAAAGCTTCTTGACGGTAGGTTATTCTCCTTTGGTTCCTTCTAAGAGGTAGAAACATTAAGTATCATTCATGCCTAAAAAAACATAGTTCATAGAGAAATATACAGTTCTTACAACTTCATCAGCTGTTTTGGATCTTCTCATAGTTCTCACCATGAACTTCTTGTAAGCGTCATTAAACTTCTCAACAGGCTTTGCATTTCTGCACAAAAGTCTCACACTTTTAAATCAGACAATGTTACAAAAAAGCAGAAATAAGGACAAAAGTTAAGAACTATATTACCTAGAGATTCAGAGATTAAAGATCTCATTAGTCGTTTTAACCTTAGACTTAAAATCCATGTGCATAGCATAAGCTATGTAAAACAAAGCATGTGTCTTTCCAATCTCATTAACCTCCAGAAACTTGTAAATCACTTTCGCATCAGCACAATGCTCCGCCTTCAACAAAATAAAAAAAATTATCACTTTCATTTAGTACTCTTCCATACAAAAGAAAGACCATTGAAGGAGTTAAAAGAGAGAGAGAGAAACATTATTACATATTCTAACCAAACTTTGAAATAACCGAGTGCCAGAACTTACGAAACCATTGCTCATATATCACTAACAGCCCCGAACACTCTCCACCTGGTAGAAACGCCTCTTGTATCCATTTTATACACCTGAAGAAAAGCTCAGATTGGTTTCAAGAATCTCTATTTTCAATAAAGTTGGGATTTTATAGAAACCCAAAAGCAAGAACTTACTGGATCCATGGAAAGATAGGGTCTTCGCCATCGTACTCTTCATGGTTTCATTGAACGTAAGCTTATGTGTCCAGAAGCTGAGTAATCTTAAGAATGTCAAGAAGAGTTCTGTGATTTTCTATCAAAGCTTGATATCTGTTGGCAACCTTCTCAGCGTAAAGCTCAACACTGTCTTCATCGGATTAACCCTAACCTCCACACCTGAGTAACCATCCTCTGCTAGCTCCCTCGTCAGAACCTCATTCAACTCAGGTAGAACACACCGTTGGTTACAAACTACAGAAACTCAACATGGATACAGTTCAAACTACCATTCCGCGAAAGAGATCCATGAGGAAGCTCTGTGACTCCTTCTTCCTCGAGCTTCTCTTATGATTTTGCAAAATGTAATCTATTAAAATAGAGTATTTTTTTTATCTACTGATACAAGTTGTCATTTAAATTTGGATCATTTCTAGAGTGTTACAAATAATACAAGTTATATAGTTGATTGAACCGCATTATTTAAATTAAATCGGCGATTATTTTTAATTCACCAGCTTACGTTAGTCATATAATTGATTGAACCGTTTACTTAAATTAAACCAACAAAATTAATGTAAAAAGACAACCTTAATGTAAACTACCTTTAAAATACGGCAAATATCTATGTGTATACCAAAAACATATATTTTCTCCTACAAATATGGAATGTTCTAAAAGAATATATATCATCAAAATATGGAATATGGAAATCTACTAATTATAATTAAATTAAACCAATGGTTATTTATGGAATATAGTTTTGGTCTTACTTTTATTTTTTGAACAAATTATATAGTTTGGTTTTTGTGCTTAGTATTAAGAAAAAACTCCAAAACATTGAATAAACTTTTCGCCTTAAAAGATCAAAAAATCAATTATTATTTTCAGACCCAAAAGGTATTTAATATTTTTAACTAAACAAAATTATCTATTATTAATCATTTATTTAAATCATGTATTTTAAAATATGTTAATATATTTTTTTATTTTAAATAACAATCACTTTGTTTTGATAAATTTCAATGGTAACTTTTAAATAATTTATTGTTTTATTTTTCTTAAATAATTTACTGATTAAAAAAATATAAAGCAAAACCAAAAACCAAATCTAAAAACTAAAATCCAAAACCAAAAGCTGAAACACACATATTATATTTTTTTTGCTTTGTTTATTTACAAAATAAACTATTTCAATTTTTTTTTTTAAATTTGTTTTCATCTTTTCAGTTTTAAATTAGATATTCGATTATTTGAGATTTGTTTGTTGGTAATATTTGTTCAAACTAACTCAGCGGGTTTAAAAATTTAAAACTCAAACCAAAAACTGAAAATGAAAAGTAGAAACTTAAAAACTAAAAACGAAAATCCAAAATCTAAAAATAAAAACTGAAACCAAAAACTAATGAAAAACAATCATCACCACAAATTTTGGTGAACTGATTTTATATCAAAATATTATTTAAATTATGACAAAATCCAATTATATAAATTTTTAATCATAAAAAATTTCCGTGCTTTTAAGCGCGGGTCAAAATCTAGTTAGGGTTTGTAAAATAAGTCTCGGAGTCAGGATGTGTTCTGGGCTTCATGGGCTATTCCGAATTTGAACGATGCAGACCTTTGAAAATTGAAGCCCAAGTGACGAATGTGAGGCGCTGACGTGGCAAAAATCTGGTCTTCTATTGGTCAAATATATTTGAGGACATGGACACTCTTTTTTTTTTACAACGAAAGGCTGATCTATTACTCAAGCTTGAGGTGGTCTGGGAATCCAGACCGGAATAGAACAACCAACAAACAAAAGATCACGATAGAAGGATCAGGCAGTCTTAGCTAGGTGGTGAACAGATACAACATTTTGAGATCTAAGAACAGAAGAGATTTTGAATTCTGGGAAACAAATCCTTAACGTCGAAATCCTCTCCAGTTCTGTCGAAAAGCTTGGCCATCCCAGAGGATTCATGAGCATGCTACCAATTCTTTGCAGTCCGTCCCAAAGCTCTGACATGGCGAATGTTGAAGCATGTTCTCCATTGCCCACTGCAGCGCTTCCAGCTCCGAATGCAAAGCCGACTCCACTCTACTCATATTGCGCATCCCCATCAACTGGCTATTCCCCTTGCTGTCCTTCCAGTCCCAACCACAACCAGAGAAAAGATCCATAGAGGTCCAAGAACCGTCTATCATACATATATCTCGTAGGCTTATGGCCTGACGGTCATTATCCCCGTTCACATGTGTAATCGCAGCTTCTTGCTCATTAGCTTGGAACCAGGCTAGACACTCACTCTCCGCATATCAAGCCAGTTCCAGAGGGTCTCTATCTATTCCCCTAAATAGCTTATCATTCCGAGCCTTCCAAATGTACCATATTATCCAAGGATAAGGATCCTTGTCTAGATCTGGCCCACAAATGATCTTCTTCCGCCAGAATAGGTAGTCCATATTCGAATATGTGCTCTCCAAAGGGAATAAAGCTGGACTGGTGGGTATAGACACTAGGGCCCATACCTGTAAAGCCGGAGGGCATTGAAAAATTGCATGTGCAATTGTTTCATCCGGTTCTCCGCATCTTGGCAGAAGTTATCGCATCTTATGTGTCTATGATTCAACGCGCTCGTAAATGGACACTCTTATAGAGCTTGCTATTCCCTTTTTAATAGTGTTAGATAATCATTAGAAATTTTGTTAAAGTTTATAACATAATTATAAAATATTTGAAGGCAAACAGAAGGAGGCGCTGCATCATTACATGGCAATCGTGACTCTTCAAGCCGATTAACTTTCCTTCGTTTCTGTCGACACATTTACGCAAATTTGATGCATAACCGTCTGGAAATTCTACATCCTTTGAAATCCACTCAAAGAATGCATCATTTGCCTCTGCATCTAGTCGGTATATAGGAAAAGGAGCCCGACCATTCTCATCAACATGAAAATCTGAACGAGCACATATATCGACTAAATCCAGTCTTGACTTCAAATTATCCTTTATTTTACCTTGAACGTTAAGGATCATGTTCATGAGATTGTCAAAAAATTTCTTCTCAATATGCATGACATCTAAATTATGTTGCCCTTTCACCTCTATCATCATGCCGAACAGGTCTTCTGTTTTTGGTCTGTACTTTTGCAGGGAAGTAGTACTCGGCAAAGTTTGAAGTTTCTTCATTGATCATCTGTGCGACTATAGAACCTTCTACCCCACTTAATTTTTTTACCATCTTCTTCAGATGGAACATATACCGCTCATACAGATACATCCATCTATACTGCACTGGACAACCAAGTTCCAATTCTCTTGCAAGGTGAATAACAAGATGCTCCATAACATCAAAAAAGTGATGGAGGAAATATCTTTGCAAGGTTGCACTGGATAACAGCTATGTTAGTCTTGAAATTTTCAATACCTTCAAGAGTCACTGATCTCGTGCATAAATCGCGGAAGAAAGCACTTATCCCTGCAATTGCTTCATAAACATTTCGTGGTAACAGTTCCTTGAAGGCAAATGGCAGGAGGCGCTGCATCATTACATGGCAATTGTGACTCGTCCAGCCGATAAACTTTCTTTCGTTTATGTCGACAAAATTACGCAAATTTGATGCATAACCGTCTGGAAATTCCACATCCTTTAAAATCCACTCAAAGAACACATCCTTGGCCTCTACATCTAGTCGGTATATAGGAAAAGGAGCCCTACCATTCTCATCAACATGAAGTTCTGAACGAGCATCATTTTATAAAACTCGAGAATCATTTTATAAAACTCGAGAATCGTTTTATAAAACTCGAGAATCGTTTTATAAAAACTCGAAGAATCGTTTTATAAAACTCGAAGAATCGTTTTATAAAACTCGAGAATCATTTTACAAAACCGCGAAAAACCTAAACCGCTGTAAAATGTGAACTAGAAGCTTCCCGGACAGTTCGTCAAACCGGCGAGCTGGACCGGACCGGCTCCATTCTCCGTACGTTGAACCGACCATCCTGATGCGCCCTTGGGTAGAGCACTAGGCAAAATAGACATGCATGGCTCGATCATGGGAAGCAGTAAAGATATATGTTCATTGTTTGACTCATATCTTCCAAATCACGAGGATTATACGCATGAAATCACTTGTATAATGTGCTCAACTAAATTATGGAGCTCCTCGAAGAAGAATAAGATCAAACGGAGTTTATATGTGGGAGTTATGTCATTTACAAATCAGAGGTTCTTTAGTTCTCGCGAATTCAGACGTGTGCACATTCAACTGAGCTGGACCGACACTACTTTTGACCTGAATGAGCTAAGTGAGATAAGTGACACTACCTTGGAGCTGAATGAGATAAGTGACACTACCTTGGAGCTGAATGAGCTACATGACACTGAAGATGGAGCTAGTTCAGCTGCTGGGCGAAATGAGCCTTTTCAACCCAAAGAAAAGTTCATAAAAGTTTCATTATGGGTTTGTTTGACTCCAAATTCGACCAGCCTTTTCCTCAATTCATTTCAAGCCCATTCTCATCAAGAATACCAAGAGGAAGTCAACAAATAAGTCCTGGTCGTGGCTATATCAAGAGGCAGTCCAAGTTTCAGTCAAAGAATTTATTTAGTCAAGTCTTTGTTTCATTTTTCAATGTCTTGTTTTTAGCACATTTTTCTTTGGATCTCTACAACTTGTAATCCTATAAATAAGGCACTATTAGCCACGAAATAAATCAGATTGTTTTCCCCTTTTTATGAGTTTATCTTTCTTTGTTCTTTGCTTAGAACTTTTCTTAGTTTCTTGGTGAGGTTATCTCCAAGTTTCGATCCTTCTTTTGTTGGACCGGTGCGTCACATCCGGCAACGATCGAAGTCTGGTAGTATCATTGGGCCATCCGCAACCCTTTGTGTCACCGTTCAATCCACCAGTTCTCCCTTTTGGCGAGTTCATATCCCTTTAGTCCGTTTGAGTGATCCTTTCCCGATTTAGGGCGTATCACATCCCGAACCTCGATCGCCCGCATCCCCGATTCGAAACTTACGTCCTTCAACACGGTCACATTCTGAACCACGGACAAAATGTCTCCCGTTTCGTCTCGTTCCGACCTATCGTTCGAGTTTTACGATAAAAACCGTAAAACTCCGTTTTCTCGAAAAGAACTCGAAGAAATCGTGTAAAACGGCAA